TGCCTCTAAGAAGCTCGAGTTATATCCGAGTGTTAGGTCGTCTGTAATATAGAGAATGCGATTCCAAGTTCGTACTTCGTTTCTTTTAATATTATACATCCATTCCACAGAAAATAACTCCCCGCTCGCTGGAAGCTTATGTCTCGGCCGAGATATTACCATTTTTAGACACTCGGAGTATTTATTGCTCAGATAAAAGGGTAACCGATTCATTCCGTCGCGGACGTTATTACATGTATTAAGTCATTGAGAAGCATCGACTGCACGCTCTCCGACGAGCAGAAAAATTATCGGTCAACGCAATTAGTAACCGACTTTGTTTAGCTCGTAGTAATCTCGTCCAATTATCTCGGAGTCCGTGTTAAACAAATCCCATAACAAACAACGCGGTGTTATCGGATTAGTGTACAGTTACAGACGAAAACAACACCCATGGGAAACGAGACGAACTGGCCGATGACCATGGGGAAAGAGACCACTCGATGTTGGGGTCCCTTTGAATGCATGCAGCACGGAACGGTCCCGGAAATCAGTCCCGTCACGCAGACCGGAAGCTGGACGTTGCCACAACGATGGATTGACATTAAATCCCATCGACCGTTCTCTCTGTTCAATACAATTACCCTTGCCACGTGATAAAACTGAATCTTCGTAACCCAATTAATATCTCACCTAAATAAACGAAAAATAAATTCGTTAAAAATATAAATGATATTTTATAAATCACCGGTTACCCTCGAATTCCTTCGCCATATTTAATAATTTCGGAGTCACCAATCAGGACACGTTTCACTCTAGCTCTTTCTCGAGCACCATGGCAGAGACCTACAATTCTCCCGTCAAAATCAAATTCCATATCGACTGCGCGTGATATGCAGCTTTGTCGTTCTGTTTCCGGCACGGTCCCGTAGCCTGAAATTTAAAGATCCTTAGGGGTAGCATTATTTTCAGGTCGTAACACTCGGTTTAAGACGATATTCGGTTTCGGTACTGGCGAACAGGTTCGCCTTGCAAGGTGAGATGCGTGCTTCTCCCGTTCTTTCAATCTCCACCACCTTCTCCGGCTGCCCGTTTTCGTCTCGTCCCTACGTGGTCCTCTGCATCTGTCTTGGTATTTTCCAGCCTGTGTGCACGTCCACGTGTACACCGTGCGCGCGTGTGCAGGTGCACGGTGGGCGTACGCCGTGCAGCCTGCAAAGAATTGCACACGAAGGAAGAGACTCGCCTGTGGGAAAGTAACGCAACACCATGAGAGCCAGCGGCCTGGACCGCTGCTGCCAAACTCCCATAGCGGCGTATGCATGCCATGGCGACGAGCTCGTGATGTTGGACGCGCTCGCTGCGTGCACGAGGATAAAGTGGCTGACCACCGTGGTTCCGATATGCTCTCTGCCTTCGTTCTAGCCGAGTTCCCGTGCCTGGTAAGGCTGTTCCTCCATCACGAATTACTGTAAATTATTTTCGTTTGAATATTCACTTGGATTCGCGTCATTTGCGAAAGATCTCGTTCAAAATTACAATCCTCTGCGACCCCCTTTGCGTTTGACATTCTGATTTAATTATTTCATAGCTAAGAACACAGACAGGGGTCAAGGTTTGATTCCATTTTCATATTTTCTTGAAGAATATCGTCTAAATATTGACACACTTCTGCGAAATCAGGTTACAACATGGAAACCTACGTTTTGAAAAGTAGTCGAACGGATCAGAATGTCAAGTCCAAGTCGACACAAGGACCCAAACAGTCGATAGAGTCTCTGTACAGGTATCTCGGAGGATCTAAGTTGATCGTAAGCGATTCACGACGGCTTTATTCTTCGAAATTTAGAACGATTAAAGAATAGAGGAGATCAGAGCTGTGGTGCACAATGCAGAGGTGGCTCTATGGTAAATTAGCGAATCGAAAGTCGCACTCGAGTGCTCTTTTCGCATGACACACATGTTCCAGGTTTATCTGCCGATTGCAGCTGCGATCTAGTTGCGGAGCTAATTGAATTTTCTCCTTGAGATCGTCGCGAACGAAGCCAGACCTCCGAGGGAAATGCTTCTCACAGGAGGCCCGTTGTTCGCGACAAAAGGCAAGAGTGTTGCACCAGGGAATCGTGATATCACGCGCGGCTGAGACTCCACGACTTTCACGTTGCGGTATGTTTACTCGTCGTTCCTCTGCTTAAGGGTTGAGGTCTCCGTAAAGTGCCTCTGATGATGCCGACGTCGGAATCGCGGTGTTTTACTCTCTTCTTAGGTCCTCGACCTCGTACGAGAAAGAAACGGAACCACAATAGCGAAAGGATGTCGCGAATTAACGATAATTTATTTAATCTACATAACAGACGCGCGTAATTATTTGCTGGAAAAAGAGGCAGGTGAAGAGCGACTGAAGAAACGTCGATGAAAATTCCAGAGAAAATGGATGACCTGGAGCGGATGTCTCTTCCGAGTGTAACGTCAAATTCAGTGCCTGAAAGGTATCACTTTCGAACTTGCTGCTCGATACATGTGTCACAGTTGTACCTGCATTGTGTCTGCGAGCTTCGAATTACACGGTCACCCCATAGAACCTGCCCTCTGCCAGGCGAATCTCACCCAGGTATAATAACACGCTCCCTATTCCCTCGTTTTGACGAATGCCACCCAAGAGCACCCTACTTGGGCACCCAGCGGTGGTGCTCGCGTCGATTCTCTCTGCTGCCTTTGTGCACGAGAGATGCGTTGCTCACGGACGAACGTGTGAAGCATTTTCACCTGTTCAGTGACTACGCGCCGAGGTGTCCATAGGATCTCGCAAGACGAAGTTCAGCGTTACGTCGCTAGAGAAATCAGTAAAAAGATTATCACCAGGAGGAAATTACCCCGGCCGCTTCCGCAATGAAAGCAAACGCATAACTTTCGTTCATCTTCTGCTCGAGGAATCGCGTTCGTTCGATCTAGATCGTATCTGGAACAGTAGAAAACGAAATGTTTTTCAGCGTGTTTCGATCTGGGAAATAATCGCGTGGTTTTTGTACGTGCCAGCATTTTTGCATAAATTCCGGATAAATTAGCGGTTTTACACCCACGCGAGTGTATCGGTTTTCCTCGAAGAAATCGACGTGGAACCCTTTTTCTCCACCGTATAATCGTCGCCCACTCGCGGCTGCGAGTTTCGAGTGATTATGTAAGAATCGATTCTTGTTTCTCGTAATTTTCTCCTTGTCGTCAATGGTCACCGGGGCACGAATAAAATATCTCTGCGTCAGAGGAACGGGGTGACGAAATTCTTGCGACATTTTTTGGAAAAAGTAAAAATGAACCGAGCGGAAAGTGAGCGTAAAGATCGAAAGCCAGAAAGGTGAAATGAATAAGAAATCATTTAATAAATGACATGTGAATTATACAGGCGATTCGTTAAATTTCTTTTCCAATTTATTTTCACCAGAAGAAAACTTCCTGTTCGTGTAAGAGAAAATTTTTACGAACAATTTTTCATATTTTTAATAATAATTGTGAATAATAATAATTTTTAATATATTTTTAATATCGTTGGTGTAAATTATCGCAGGGGGAATAAACTTTATCGATGTTTTCACGGCTTAACGAAAATCGTTTATGGTGAAATCGGCACGAATGCCTACGTCAGGAGCGTCTCACGGTTATAGGAAATCCTGCCTTAAAAGGCAAAGATAAAACTTCTGCGTCGAAGATAACACGTTGTCACGGTCGATTTAATTCGTGTGAGTCGCGACTATCGCGTAGGAGTTTATCAAAGACCAGGCTGTTACAACGTTCTTTATTTCCTGTAAAAGAGATTACCTCAAAAAATTCACGCCTCGGTTCCAGTGAAAAAATGTGACAAATTTTCACGAAAACGTGAGTCGTCCACGCAGTTTATTTCGTGGCAATTACCTGAAAATTCACCATCCTCCTGGAAAGAATGGCATCGAGGTTTACACTCGGTGAACTTTCCGCGCGCGAAACTGCCAGGAGGAAAACGAAATGGCGGAACGTGTGTATTCGCGGGAGCCATTAGCAGCTAGCTACTGCATTTTTTCAGAATCTCGAAAGTCGCACGTGACGTCCATTAGTAGTGAGACTCGTTGTTCCCCGCGACATTTGTAATTTACACGCTTGGGAAGCCGCTTGCAGCGTTTACGGAATTTCAATCGTCATTTAGAGCTTCACCCGTCACGGGCTAAATTACTTCTCACCCTGGGATCGTCTGACAAACAATTCAGGTACATCGTTCGACAACTTGTATCCACGTACTCGAACCTATACGAAATATCAAGTGTTACATTTCCTTTTCATAACGCATCGTTATGTTCGTTAATATTCAAATTTCATCACGTACTCTTCGTACGATAGTCTCGACAGTGTGGCTCGTTAAACCGAGACGGGGAAACTAATTTCCATCGAGAAATTTTGTATAATCAGGGAGCGTTTGAAAGAAAGGGATTTCTCGATTATGGCCAACACAGTTTCCCGATTATCGATATTACCATAGAAGTTTGTTCTGCGTGAAAATTTCGCGACTCGTTAAACCCGTTCCACGTAATTCACCCTCGCATGACCAAAATCCTTTGTGCATCGGTCGGCGAGTTTCCTAATATATGCACCCCCTCAGCCGATGATGGCAAGGGTCAGCCAAACGAGACGAAAGCAAAAAGCGAATTAAACCCCGGACATCCTCCTGGCTTGCAAACGAACGCCCACGCGTTGCTGAAAAGTTGCAAACCTCGAGAGAGCGAGAGAGTTTGTCCGAGGAGAGACAACAGGAGAGAGAATGACGGAGAGAGAGAGAGAGAGAGAGAGAGAGAGCTGGTACCCTCCGCGTACATGCGACCGTAGGATTCCCAGTTTCACGCCCCCGCACAGACACAGAGAAACAGCGTCGCGCGCATAGAACGTTGGACGGGTCTCGTGCACTCGCAGGAAGGTCGTTTTCTTTCCTCTACGGCTCGTAGGCTTACTACGCCGACTTTACACGACCGCTCACGCGTCCCCTTCAGTCGTAGCGCAGCGCTCGTGGCGTGTAGAACGCGGCCAAGTCGGGTGATCGGTGATTTCAACGCTGGTCGAGGCGTGCCATTGCTCGCTCGTGCAACAAACAGTCGCGTACCTACCGCGTCTCCGTATTAAATCCACGTTAATTTCATATTAAAATCCGTATTAAATCTACGTTCAACTGGACGCGCACGAACATCATCTTCTGGGACATAACCGAGCAGTAAGATTGCAGTAGCTATACTCGTGTTCAGTGAATTTGCTCGGTATTACGTGCATTCGAGGAGTTTCGCGCGCGGTGCAGTGTCTCGAGGTTCGGAAAAGCGACTTCCAAGGACGGAGCTTGGAGGATTTAATGGTGACTGTCCGGACGATGTGTTACTGATCGATCGAACATACGTATCCGCGGATAATTCGTTCGTCGGTGTAGCAACGGTGCAGTATAATTGGATGCACTCAATGCCACTTGTTCGCCAAGTGTAAACATGATTCCCGCGCATTGACGTATGCACCGGACCGCGAGTGCGGGCTGCACTCAGCTGTGAATTCGTCAGAGTGAGTATCCATGTGAATATTCATGATTCGAACTGCGCGATAGCGTTTATCGATGCCGCGTCCATCCTCCTCTGCAACACGTGACGCTCGAATGAAAGCGTATCATCGTAAGCGGACTTCACCGCATGCCGTTAATTAAGCAGAATTAATTAACAGGACCGATTTCGCGATAAATCGGAGCCAGCGATCCGAATGTTCCTCGGTCCGTACTCCCGCGGGCCTTATTGAGTTTCGATCGTAGAATGGCTGCTTATTATTAATGAGCGGAATTACAGTTAACGCTGTGAGAATGGTTACCACATTTTTCTTGCGCTTCCTCGTTGTGGAAACATTTAACAATCGGGCCACGTACGGCTTCCTATCGGTCCGAGTCTCAACCAACACCACGCACTTCGCGAACGTTTAAGCCGCCTCTAACTTCTGGCACGCAGCTGCGTCGTCTCCGGGCTGTTTACGCGCCGAGCAAGGGCCGTCCTTCCGACCTTAGTCACCCGTGTTTTCGTCGATACACGGAAAGTTACGAGTCCACGCGAGATATTCCTCGAACACTCGGGCTAGCATAGCTATCGCCAGTCGCTGTCCGATAATTATCCAACGACCTTCAGCACACGGTGGTTTTCTTTCGCAGCCTTGGGCAGAGAGGCTGAAGAAGCTGCCGGTTAAATTCACGTTCTATTCTAAGTGGATGTCGCGTACGTATTACACTACTTTGCACGCACTGAAATAGCGTCCGCGATAGGCCGGAATTAGAGCAACCTGTTTTCAGGATTCTTGTTAGTCCTCGCTCCACGTCCGAGACGTGGACCAGTTTCTTCCCCGTTATTACTTTAATTAACGCGGAAAGGCGCAATTAAGCGACACGGACAATAAGCATCGCTATCGACAATGGAAAATTGCTTCTTAGAATATTCTCCATTTGCAGGGATGAAATTATTCAATTTCAAACGACGAAAGAAACGTAATTTCTACGTCGATGATCTGTACACGTTATCGTAGCATATGTGCGGAAAATAATTACCGTGGGTTTTCCTCCATCGTTTTATGTAGTGCTGCCGCTGTGCAGAGGCGCGGTCAGACTTTGTATTATTTTTAATTATTATTTAATTACAGTTTACGATAGTTATTTAAATTGTACGCGAATAGATAATGAGTTTCTCTGCGAATATCTTACGCAAAATCTACATTTAATTAAATCCATGTAAGAACATGAAAGGTATATATGAATTCGCAAATCATTACTTCCTTCCTTCTCTTTTATCAGCGAGCGTGTAACCTAGGGTAGGATCTGTAATTAGCAGTTTCATGTAACGAACAAGGATGAAGAAAAACAGTTGGGTTCTGGTTTCAGGTGAGATCAAAGAGGCATGCTGAAGCACGTGTCAGTCTCGCCGTGGAGAGGGCGAGCGGACAGCGTGAGCCTCGCTTCCAGCGGGGGTGCGAGTAGCTGCGGAAGCGGAAGTCCAACCCCTGGTCACACGCCACCGCCCTCGAGAGCATCTTCGTGCGCCTCCCTGGCACCCTTGACCGCTCTTTCGAGCTTTTCTCCGGCCGATGCGGCGTCGCAACAGGTAAGAATCGAGAAGAACCGTACAGAATCGCGCAAAGATCACCCCCCGTAACAGCGATCTCGTTTGTCTCGATTGAAATTGAGCCGATAGGGTCTTTGTCCGTGGCGAAACAAGGAAGAAATCGCATAAAGGAGCGTGGTAGAATGAAAAAGTCACGCATAAAGGCAAGGGGAAAGGTCGAAAACACGACGGGAGGGTAGAAAAAGCAATGACGTGGTTGCTTAATAAAGCAAACGAGGAGAACAAAACGCTATCCGTGACGGGCGCTGGAACGGTTTCGTTGAAAACGAGAACAAAACGATTCCCTGCACTTATTAACAGCTGGACCACGTGTGTCCTTGTCCGTCGTCGTGCTAATGGGATTCATCGGCGGAACGTGTGTTTAATCCACGATCATTTCTGACGCAGTCATCCGCTTCATTACTTGCCCAGCCGAAAATAGCCCGCGATTATTCCCGATTGTGTAAACAACGTTCGTGATAAATAATGAATTATCGATTACGATTGCACGCTGTTGCGCCACTCCGCGATGATTCTCGATGTGTTAATCGGGAGAACAGTCTGGAACATCTTGGATCTCGCTCCGTTTTTATTTTTACCACTGTCAGAAGTCAGGTTTGGACAGAGGGTGAATTTCTCACGATCCAAGTGTCCCCAAGCTTGGCCCGCTGCAACTGCACGCGTCTCGGTTTCGCATCCCTTTTTGCGCGAGCAGAAACACGACTCTCCGACGGCCCTTGATCCCGGCAAGATGTTCAGGGTGGCCAGTTTTCGCCCGACATCTGCGTAGGAAACAGAGAGAACCCACGTCACCGGATCGCTTTGAATACGAATAAAATTTCGTCGAACACGGAGACTGTCCGGTCGCGTAGAATTTTCGATCGTTTACACGACCAGTCGATGTAATCGACATTAGGCTCGATTACGAGCATACCTCGCGCATCGACGTCGACGGTGGTCGCCGATGCATCGCCGTGTCGACCGGCTCGGCCAATAAAAATTAGGGTCACCGCATTTAAAACGCGAACTTTGCATTATTACTGGCATCCCAGTTTCTGCGGCTCTAGATATTAAATACGCGGCTGTTGAATAAATAGGTACATCGATGTAGCAGAGTTTTCATTGTATTTACGTCTGCCTGGCCCGTTTCACACGAGGCTGCGCCAAAGGTCGCTACAAAACGACTGAATTCTTCCGTTAGCTTCTTCGAGAAATCTACCGCGCTCGCGTGCGAGCATCCTGGTCACCGGTGTATATATGTATATTTTTACAATAATTTCGTGGTTTCCCGAAGCCTGCTCCGTTCTTCCAGCCGGTACCATCGGTGTTACCGATCTACACCTCCGCGCTGACGCGATTTTTACGAGGAATTCTTTGGTAAATAGACGGAATATTTTACTCGTCTCGGTTTTCTGCAAGTAAAAGAAGGAATATTCAACTAATAATTTCGTCTCGGCGTTAGAGTTTCTTTTGCTTTTCTGTGTCTTTCGTTGCTCGGAGTTTATCTTAGTCCGTACGTCCCGCAGTTTTTGTCCATGGAACCGAGAATTCTCTGTGAGAACCCCGCATGCCGAGGCGTCGCACATTGCGGCCGGCTCACAATGTGAAGTGAAAAACTATACCGAGAGCGCCGCCGTAACCCTGATGGATCCACTTAATCGCACTTGCTCCCTGTCCACCGACCTTCGTTCCTTACTAGGTTGCTTGGAAATAGCCGGGGAAACGACTGTGTTACCAACAATCAAGTCGTTGCGATAAAAACCTTGTAGCGGGAAGTAAAAAACTTTCTTTACGGATGAAATAACTCGTACCGATTTTCCCGCAAATTTTCCGTCGTTTAATAATCGTTTATTATTATTCCCGAGATCGTCCATTTTTAAGCATCCGTATAACTCGCGGAACGCTTCTCTCGGCACTGGTACAGGGACGAATGAAAATATCCGCGGAATATTTTCCAGATAGCAACAAAAGATACCACGAGGAGCAATGGAATGTGTACGAACAGGAAACGAAAAATAAACAGCGTAGTTTATTATAGATACCGAATGGCGGTCCGAAAAGTCGGCGCCGCGTGGATTACAGCACAATCGGTCATAGCGATAGCTTGTCTCAGTGACAAACTATTCAGTCTCGACAGAAGCTGTACTTTGATACCCTGTTTCAACCTCGATTTTTCTTTTTACTCAATTTTACCCCGTCTTTTAACGCGAGCAGCGAGTTTTTCTCCGCGACATTTACGGAGTCCGTTGCAATCCACGGTAGGTTTTCTCGATTTCTAGAAACCAAGTCGAAACGCTAGAAGTTTATTCTAATTTCGATGCAATGACCACAAGAAACTTAATCTCGCGCGCGATAAGATAAAGTACCCCGCGGAAGCGCCGCGATCCTCTACGATTCTCTCGCTGACCGTGAAAGACGCTCGAACCGGTATGAAATGAAATGTATTCTGGTCAAGTTTTTTCGCCTGTGATAACTAACTGTAGAAGGATCGCGACGATGCTGCTGCGGCTTTCGATACACCGCACAGCTTTACGCAAGTGGCACGAAAAGTGAAAAATCGTCTCGCTCGCGTACAATGATCTCGATAATGTCAACGTCTCCGCATGGTCGGTCCATTTACCGTGTTAAGTGTAATAATCACGCGTAGAGAAAAAGAACACCCAATGGTCGTGTTTAGCCAAACATAAATTAGAAGCTTCTGGCATCTTCTGAACTTTTCCATGTTCAATTATCTCCGCTTATTCCTCCATTTTCCGCATCGCGATCTGATTTAACGACCATAACATCGCAGTATGTCTTCCATTATCGACGAAGTAAATCATCGGACGTCCCGGGACAAATTACTGTCGGTAGATAGCAGGAAGATCAATTTTTTCCAGCTTCATTTCTAACCGTGATATCTCTATCTTCTCCTGTGCCACTTGTTCGTCCTACATCAATTTTCTACCATGTTCATGCCCGCGTACTCGCTTCCCATAGCATCGAGTAGCATCGAGTGTACCATCGAGGCGAATTAAAAACCGCAGGATTCACTTTGGTGAAACCCGATCGAACAGAATGTGGATCGGTTCCACCGCGATCGCGGATCGATCGCCGTGTCGGCACCGGCACGACACGTACGAAATCACGTTCCACCTTTTCGTTCCGCCTCTGAGTCCCGGACCTGTCCCGCGATCTCGAACCTCGCAACATCCGGTGTGGCGGCCCGTGGTTCCGGCTTTCTTGTGTACGAGTGCCTTTCATTCGAACCGGTCTCGATAAAACGTACAACGCCGTTGTTCCATCAGAATGTTCGGCTTTTATCCGTCCATCGATCGACCTTCACCCTCGCGATTCACTGTCGGACCACCTCTGCGTGATTTTGCTACATCACAATGATGCCTCTCCGCGAGAAACAAATGAACGGGAAGAGATTTCGTAATCGTTCTTCTGTTTCCACTCGGGGAAGGTCAGTAGGGACTCTTAACCCTCTCATTGTTGCAGGTGACTATAATCATCCGTTACGGGATAGCTGCGGTATGCCACGGATGGTCACAGACGCTCGTTGACCTTCTGCAGCTTGATTTTCATCCGATTACGAACAAAATTATAGTTTCGATAAGGCGTAGCTCGTTGAAAATAGACGTAATTGGACGTGCGCGGTAATCGTCCTTTGTAAATAAATTTAAGGCGAAGTCGATCTCGCTTTCAACGATCGAATGCGAGTAGAGTTGTGCCTGTCCTCGCGAACTTTTTCCCGTTTCTCCACGACGTAACAGCATTGTCTCATGAACAACATCGAAATGGTCTTTACGCAACCAGATTTCCAAGCAACGAACAATAAGAAAAGAACAAGTTCGTGAACGAATCAGTGAAATCTGTTCGCCAAGCCGCAGCCGTTTCGCTTCCTGCTAGGATTCCTTGGCCGACAGGCCAGTAGTCGAGGGGTCATGATAAATTGTTCGTCGCGTTAATTATTACGTGCCGGTGCACCCGCATGACGGCGACATGGTCAACCGGAACCCCCGAAGGGTGGCTGCTCGTACCATCCGAGTTCGGATTTTTCACCATAAAGCCCGTAGAAAAAGTCACAATACCCCGTAACCAGGACACAATCGATCGAAGGTTCCTTGACCGGTTCCAAGGATGTTCCCGCCATAAAATGCACTTCATAATCGTTGGACTGCGCTTTATTATGCTACGAAGGCGTCCTTTTTTATGTATCCGCTGGTACGAGCAGTACGTGGCTCGAATTCACACGATTGGACACTGAAACCGATCGAGCAGGGGTTGTTCCCATCTTCCCTCGTATTCGTTGATTTATTATCATGCTAATGGCTTTATGGAACGCTGGCTGTTACGTAACCGTAGTGTTAAGTGGCGCTTTCCATCGTCCATGGAATGCCGTTACGTCACGGCGTAACGCGAGGAAAACCATAATCGCTGCGCCGATCTAACCTTATCGGGGTATACTGTTGCGAGAAACGGGTCCCTCTCCTTATCGATCAACCCGTTCGATGTAATTTTGGAAGCGTCCACGTGGGCTATTTAAAGCATGCACGAGCCACGGGACTATTCTGTCCCTAGGTTCCATCTCGGATAATTATAGGTTATTATCCGCCTCTGTTCACCCGCGAGAGGAACGACTCGCGGGATGAACTCTTCTGTTCGGCGACACGGGATTTTTAAGCGAGTGCTGCCTAAGCAAACACGCCCGTGGACCCAACAAAAACATCGTCGTCATGTGTGACGGGAGAAATATCGCGGCCAGAAGCATTTCTTCTAGTGCTTTATGGCTGGATTAGAAGTCAGGCGACTTTTTGCCGTTGCTAGATATCTATTAGATCGTTTGCTTGTTTTCACAAAGAGCCTGTTTAAGCAGCGGGCGAACACTCGCGGATTCGTCAAGGCTGTTCGATCGCGTGTACATCGTTGAGCAAACGGATCCAGCGATAAGTTGGAGGCGGAAAGAATTCGAGCGATTAGACGACGGATTCTTGTGCAATCGCGGCTCGTTCCTT